GAGGATAAGATAGAGGTTAAGTCGTGACGAAAATATTTCGTGCACTTAAATTGGATAAGACTCGCTACCAATCCCTGTTGACTCGATAGCTCAATAGGTAGAGCGGCGGTCTTACAGGTCTAGATACCCGAAGATGGGAGTTCAAATCCCGCTCGAGCCAACAAATTTTTCGTTGGTCGATTGCAGTGTCAGATTAATATGAAACTAGTTTTTCGTATCTCTGATGATGGTTCTGAAAGTCGGTTCGAGTTGATCATATTTCGGAACTGAGTCTAGTTCCTTTGATATCAGTGTATTCTATGATACGATTATTTTGTGTGTGTTGGTGTTATGTACTCATGCAGGTGTAATATATGATGTTTGTGATGTTACTTTGAGTGTGCACCCGCACCGGGCAAGCTGAAGAGTTTGCTTGGCCACGTTGGGAATTGAACCAGCTTGCCCCGTGCGGATGCACACTGAGAGTAACATCACAAACATTACATGTACAAAGGTGAATAAAGTTTTTATCGGCTAACCAATTGTAGTTATTAAATTATAACATGGTTTCCTTTATGTTTTTGACTTTGTTCATGACAATTAGGGTAATTATTTCTTTTGTACAGCGCATTACACCCTGATGCACCCTACTTTATTATTTTAGTCTGTCTAACGCCAATCGATTTTAATAAAATTATATTTTTACATGTAAAATAAGGACAAGAAGTAAATACATTATTTTACAATAAAAAATTTAACAGTTTATCTTTAACAGAGCATCGTTTTCAATTGTTTTATTAGGTTGTTGCTGCTGTTAAAGCTTTAAGGATGATATCGATCCAGGAGCAGAATTTAAAAGAAACCACATCAGACGCGACAGTTTCTTATGTTCAGCAGCTCAATGGACGGAAGAGGTACTGCTCGCAGATATTTCAAAAGCAGTTTGTTGAAATTATTGTATGTAATGCAATGATATTTGAACGTACAGTGGCCTGCAATTATCGTTAATTTGAATTTGAAAGGATATACTTTATACACACTGTATATTGGTTAATGTAACACTGTATATTCATGTCATTCACATAATAGTCGTACAATCAGCGTATTATACACTGGTGAGTTTGTAGTTAGTACTTGTATTGTATGATTGTCAAATACAAAACGTAACATGTCACAAAGATCGTCTCCCAAGTTCATCTCTTTCCTCAACTTTGCAGAAATGTTGTTAAGTTATTCCCTGGTTGTTACTCTGTTGGCTCTGTGGTAAAAGCTGATCTTAGTGAAGAGCAATTGGCTGCATTAAATCACCTCCTTCCTGGTGCAGCAGTCAATGTAGCTGATTCCTGGTCGTTTAACAGGATTATATATGGTGAACAGATCTTCTATAGCCAGAACCACAGTATGGAAAAGAAGCTTATGGGTTATGGGTTTATCATATACTTTCTTAAAGTTATTTTGGCAAACCAGGAGGAGCAACCCTATTATCTGGCTGCTATTAAGAACTTGCAGCTGTACAAAGAAGAGGAAATATTAGCAGATATTACAATATCCACAAACAATCATGAACTTGGTGGACACTTGAAACCTTGCAAATATGACAGGTAAATATATATTTGTCAAAACCATTGAGGAGACAAGGGAAAGAAATTTTCTAATGTGAATGCATCTACATTCAAATACGACCTCTTCTCCTCCCAGTTCAATGTTGCCCACAATCCACCCCAAAATGATTTTCTGTGATTCACAAACATTGACTGGGGCGGGGGGGGGGGGATAGACAACATGTATTTAGGAAATTAATGATCTCCCAGGATTGCAACAAAATAGTTTTTTATTCATCTTCTATAACGAGTACTTTTTATTCACCAGTGCAGTTGTATTGATAATTTTATTCATAATGAGTGATTTGTTGATATTTCATTCATTCTTTTGTGATTAATTGCTAATGTACTGTAACCTTTTTGTTTTAGACACATACCCATTTTGTTTGTTCATATTCATGATCTTGGTCAGAAACAAGTTGCAGTTGATGGTCTGCCATCTGGGGTAATTTATGTAATTAACCCACCAAATACACTGGAGATGGATTAATTTACAGAACAAATATTGTATGTTTCGAGTAACTTAAAGTGGCACTTGCGTCAAAATTTTTATTCTCTTAAACGAAAATGCTTTAAAAACTGTATAGTAACTTGTTTTGAAGTTTTTGTTCCCATGCTTAGTTCTTGAGATACTTCATTTTGTTTGTAACCACGCATGTGATATAAATGACTCAATTACATATAAAATGAAACATTAGTAATTGTTGAGTATCTATGCTGTTTTTGATGAATTTGTTTAAAAAAACAGAATGCTTAATGAAACACGTCACATCTTTGAAAAGATTTAAAAAAATAGCAAAGATACATGTAATACAACAATTACTGATATCTCATTACATATGTAATTGAGTCATTGACGTCACATGGTTACAAACAAGATACAATCTCAAGAACTAAGCATGGGAACAAAAATCTTCAAAACAAGTTACTACTGTATGCAGTTTTAAGAGCATTTTTGTTTAATTAAGAAAATAAAAATTTTGACGTGAGTGCCACTTTAAGTAATAAATTTCATTAAATTAAGCATCAATGTTGAATTATTCTGTTTTTCACTGAGTACAAAATATATAAGTGGCGCTCTTAAAAATAACATGTAAAATATAGTTTTCCCATTATGGTGGAAACTGAAATAGTGCACTCATTATAACATCGGCAATTGTGATTGTGCAATTGGATGCAAATTGATGGTGTGATGCATATAAACTGATACACTCACTGAGTGTACAATTATTCAGTCAAAATTGTTTATGCTGAAAATTTGCAGTGCATAAAATTTAAATGCAATTCCTGAGTGTGCAAATTAACAGTACAATTGAATGCAATTGATTGTGCATGCATGCATGCATGCAAATTAATTAGTGCATATTTTATAAATCAGCAAAATAATAATTAAATGCTGTTAAATTCTCCGAGTTAATTGCATGCATGCCAATTGGTATTGCATGCATGCAATTCTTTCTGCATGCATGAAAATTGGTAATAGCATGCATGCAATTCATTTTGCATGCATGCAAATTGGTAGTGCATGCATGCAATTCTTTGTGCATGCATGCAAATTGGTAGTGCATGCATGCAATTCATATTTCATGCATGCAAATTGGTAGTACATGCATGCAATTCTTTGTGCATGCATGCAAATTGGTAGTGCATGCATGCAATTCATTTTGCATGCATGCAAATTGGTAGTACATGCATGCAATTCTTTGTGCATGCATGCAAATTGGTAGTGCATGCATGCAATTCATTTTGCATGCATGCAAATTGGTAGTGCATGCATGCAATACATGATTCATGCATGCAATAGTGCATGCAAATTTGAGTGCATGCATGCACGCAGGCATGCAAACATGCCTGCATGCATGCCACATGCATGGGCATGCATGCAGCATGCATGCATATTTTGGAAGGGATGATTTATACAAACCTTTTCAGGAAGTTTCTTTACAAATGATATAAACAACCAATATATTAAAAAATATTAAAAATAAAATGAGGATAATCCACGCGCCAGACTTGCATATATCTTCTAAATTCATAAGTGAATTGAATATGCTCTTGCTAATTCAACAATATGTAAAGATACTAATACCCCCGTATATCGTAAAATGTTTAAAATAATATCCCAATTATTTTCACTCCCTATCATCTCACACGTAAATGCTGCTTCAAATCTTTGATCCAAAATGTTTAAATTTTCGCTTTGAAATATAAAGGATTTGACACTGTCGAAGTAAAAGTTCGGGTCGTAATCGTGGCCGTCCGATAATTCCACGCTTCATATTGGTAAACAGAAAATATACCGTTATCCTCAATATATAACGGTCTTGCAAACATGTTATATACCCCTTGAAAAAATGTCCCTCTACGAAACCAACATATTCCCCTATCAATACAGGCACGATTATGATGATTGTACGATGTACTATGTGTCCCCTCATGAAAAAACACCATTAGGTCTGTATCAAAATCACGCACTTGTTGTGTAATACTGGGTAAATATGTAGCCATTTTTTTATTTTTCAAATACAAAAAACTAAAAAATAATACCAGATAATAATATATATATATACACACCTTATAACCGGAAATAGGGTCATACTTCCACAATAAATTTGCCTCAGCACCATTATCATCATTTAACGTGCGCGACGCTACTTCCGCTTTCGTGGGTTTCCATATTCTAAATTCATTTGTATGTCTTTTTACAGCATACTCGTAGGTCAACCAATCCAAAATTACTTGTATACATGGCTTTGAGGACGCATAAAACGTTTCAAAATTATTTTTTATTTTTTCAGATTTACAGCAAAACGTCAACAACCAAAGCCCAAACTTTGGGCGCCTGTGTAAAAAAAGTTTGTGGGGAAAAATTCTGTGAAAAAATGTTGGCTTGTGATCCAAAACACTCTTTTATCCAATTAACAGACGCATTGTTAGCTGAACAAAGACTATATTAAAAAAACTATAAATTTTTTTACAAAATAAATCAAACTTCCATAAATGTCTCCATATATGTATGCACATTATTAAATGTTACTGTATGATTATGATAGTACTCAAAATACATGTTGTATAACCTTTTTATTACAACAGTGTCACGATAATATTCTCCATCACAAGTATTGTCCCATTTAATATCGTCAAGACCATAAAATATTATATCTGTATATAGATCACCGGCATAAAAATGTGCATATTCATCCATAATTTCAACACCTTGCGTTACCCATTCCATATCAAAATCAATTAATCTGCCCCCACATTTGTTTTGTAAATCTTTCTGTACAATATACATTAGCATGTGATCAAATAAATTTTGCTGTTCCTCAAGAGTAATGCCAGACCAATTTTCGGGGTAGTATTTTTTGTAATCATCATCATACGCTGCAATTATTTTTGACCCCATCTCTGCGAGTATCTCATGTAAAATACATCACATTCTCAAGTTGTTCGTCACTCACAATTTCGTTATCATATGACCACACTATCTCATTTACAATATTCATTCTCATCAACCCCATACTCGCAATCATCAATTTCACATTGTATTATTTCACGACGATTGGGATGCCATATTCTAAAATTGTCTTGACCACCCTCAGCATTTGGATAATTTTCCCTTAACCAATCATAAACACCCAAGTATGATACAGGTTTCGAAAATCTTTTCAAACTGTAACATATGTAACATTACCATATTTTTCAAATCGAACACCCCAACAGTTAGCGTATACTTTGTCACCAATTGTTTTATCCTCACACTTTCTTGCTGTAGCATTAATCAAATGAATTTTATCTGTATAATAACACCACCACAAACGTTGCGTGTATACGGGCAACTGTTTTTTAGCATAATACGAACTTCGTACGCACATCGTCATTGTAAGTAAGTAATAAATGATTTTTAGTTTTATCTCGCTATTTATTTACCCAAGAGTAAAAATAAAAAACATACCAACATTTCCTCCATACATACTTTAAATTCCAAATTTAAACACAGGAATGTTAAACTAAAATACATTTTACAGATAAATTTTAAGTTTTAAAAATGCTGCCGTATTGCTTTTGAATCTGCTGTTTATATAACAAATTCACAGGTAATATCGCCACATTTTTAAAATAACCGAAATATAAAGAAAACATTATTGTTATTTTAGTACAATTATTTTTTTCAACCTCGTCAACGTCTACTTTATATGTATGCTGATAAGGTTGATCAAAATACTAATAATACTACTACACCCAGAATATTTAAAAAAAATATCATTTTGAAGAAGAAAGAAAAAAGAATGAAGAGAGAAAGACGTGTTCCATTATAATGAAAAACCTAATAATGAAAATATGTTTGATACATCGTTGGAATGATCATCCTTCGTTTACCGAAAGATGATTATACCAACGTTATATTGATCATTGTACCCAACGAAGAAAAAAGAAGAAACTGGACTGTTTTTTTATTAAAGAGTTTTTGCTCGCGATAGTCAGTTTTTTGCCATCGTCCAGCGGCACCTCCCTTAATGAAAAAATGAAGATAATATAGGTTTAGAAAATAAGTTAAAATTGTCCAAGTTACATTGATGAAAACATGTATTTTTATTATTACATGTTTCATCAATGCATCTTTGTACAGTTTACACCGTTGAAAGGAAGAAATAATAATTTTTTGTAATAACTTCATCTCCAGGACATTTTTATATGTTCTGGAGGAAGAGGTTATACAAAAATTAACATTTTTATTTCTAAAAGTACTGACGATTTTTTTCCAAAATGAGTTATTGATGTACTGAAGCGATTTTTGTTAATCACTCTTTTTTAAAAAATTGGCTTTGATGTACTGGAGCGATTTTTGTTGTGCCAGTATATTAAATTCACATTATTTAAAAATTTATTTTAAAAAGGGATAACCTGGAAATGACGTGGGTAAAAGTTTATTTTATAATAATTACTTTGATGTATTGGTATAAGTTTTTATTTTATCCAATTTATCAAAGTAGTTAATATTAAAATTATATTATCATATTATTTTTATCATAGTACTTAATATTAAAATTACCCTGGAAAAAAGGAAAAGAGGAATGTCTTTTGGAATGGGTTAAAAATTAATAAAATGATGACCATGACGATCATTTCCTAATTATTATCAAATGTATCGCCAGGGTGATCATTAAATTAATTGTTAAAAAAGAAAAGGAAAAAAAGGAAACACCAAGTGGTAACACACAAGAATTTAATAAGCGCGACATTTAAATTGTAAATTAGTTTGGCCAACCACGGCTTTGGGTTTGGAGCTCTGTTACGCATGCGCAATGTGTTATAAAGGAAAAAAGGAAAGGAAAAGTGGAATGTCTTTTGTAATGGGTTAAAAATTAATAAAATGATCACCAGGATGATCATTTGCTAATTATTAACAAATGTATCACCAGGGTGATCATTAAATTAATTGTTAAAAAAGAAAAGGAAAATAAGGAAACACCAAGTGGTAACACACAAGAATTTAAACGTCACTTCCGCTTCCTAAGCACCGCCCACTTTATTTAAAACTAAATAGCATGAAATTTGAAATACAAATCAGTTCGGTAGTGAAATTCGAGGTGAAATTTACCAAACTGAAATGTCTTCCGTCAGTGGCAACCCTGGAAACCCTCGCTTATCTGATGTTTGTGAAAGAACAAGACGAGTGTCAATGCGATTAAATTCCACGGCAATGCATGCAGGCGGTCCGCTATGGCTGACGGGAACGGTGAGTCCGGTGGTGGTGTCATCGCCGGCGCCGAAAAGGAGGAAGCTTGAAGAGACAAGAGCGATGAATATGACGGCATGTGTTCGTGGTGGCATCTTGTCATTGGGCGGTGAGGAGGAAGCCACCTGCAGCAGCAACGACAACAACAGCAACAACAGCAACAACAACAACAGCAGCAGCGATAAAAACCCCCACAAATGTCCATATTGTGACGCATTTTTTAAAAACACACAAGGCCTAGGTAGCCATAAAAAGAACTGTAGAAGAAGAACAGAGAAAGAACAGGCAAAGATGATGAGGTTGTCCGCGGGGGAGGAGGGCAGGACTGGCTGCCAGGTACTAGAATGTCCATGTGGCCAAAAAGTGTTGTGCGATATATGTGGGAAAAGTTGTAGGAAGGCTGTGGGTTTGAATACCCACAAGCGCAGAAACGCCAAATGTAAGTAAAAATTTTATCAGGCACTGCATGCGGTATAGCACGTGACCTTACGTGACTTTATATAAAGAACTTCACAAGTCACGACAAGATCATTGTTCTCAAGCTACGGTCTTGTCACGTCTTCAAGTTTTATACAAGAACTTCACCCGCCCTCTCCGCCCTTGCTTGCAACATGTAACTACTGCGTTCTTTATAGATAATTTGGCTATGTTTATTACCTGTAAGTAGTCTTTGTGTGGGCGTTTGTTTTACCCCACCTTTTCTGTGCGAACAGTTAACGAACTCTTATTTACGTATTCAAAAAGTAAAATTGTAACATTTGTTATGAAATAATAATTCGGCATGCGCTCTACGCGCATAGCCATTTATTTCCCAATTGCAGTTTTGTCTATTTATTGTCCGCTTGATATTTCGCCCAGAAAACGGAGCTCATCATGACTTGGGTACGCTGGAATGAGTATGATAATTTGCATGGTTCTGTTAAAGGCAAGGGAAGCGATAAATGATTTTTAGTTTTATCTCGCTATTTATTTACCCAAGAGTAAAAATAAAAAACATACCAACATTTCCTCCATACATACTTTAAATTCCAAATTTAAACACAGGAATGTTAAACTAAAATACATTTTACAGATAAATTTTAAGTTTTAAAAATGCTGCCGTATTGCTTTTGAATCTGCTGTTTATATAACAAATTCACAGGTAATATCGCCACATTTTTAAAATAACCGAAATATAAAGAAAACATTATTGTTATTTTAGTACAATTATTTTTTTCAACCTCGTCAACGTCTACTTTATATGTATGCTGATAAGGTTGATCAAAATACTAATAATACTATTACACCCAGGATATTTAAAAAAAAAATCATTTTGAAGAAGAAAGAAAAAAGAATGAAGAAAGAAAGACGTGTTCCATTATAATGAAAAACCTAATAATCAAAATATGTTTGATACATCGTTGGAATGATCATCCTTCGTTTACCGAAAGATGATTATACCAACGTTATATTGATCATTGTACCCAACGAAGAAAAAAGAAGAAACTGGACTGTTTTTTTATTAAAGAGTTGTTGCTCGCGATAGTCAGTTTTTTGCCATCGTCCAGCAGCACCTCCCTTAATGAAAAAATGAAGATAATATAGGTTTAGAAAATAAGTTAAAATTGTCCAAGTTACATTGATGAAAACATGTATTTTTATTATTATTACATGTTTCATCAATGCATCTTTGTACAGTTTACACCGTTGAAAGGAAGAAATAATAATTTTTTGTAATAACTTCATCTCCAGGACATTTTTATATGTTCTGGAGGAAGAGGTTATACAAAAATTAACATTTTTATTTCTAAAAGTACTGACGATTTTTTCCCAAAATGAGTTATTGATGTACTGAAGCGATTTTTTTTATCACTATTTTTTAAAAAATTGGCTTTGATGTACTGGAGCGATTTTTGTCGTGCCAGTATATTAAATTCACATTATTTAAAAATTTATTTTAAAAAGGGATAACCTGGAAATGACGCGGATAAAAGTTTATTTTATAATAATTACTTTGATGTATTGGTATAAGTTTTTATTTTATCCAATTTATCAAAGTAGTTAATATTAAAATTATATTATCATATTATTTTTATCATAGTACTTAATATTAAAATTACCCTGGAAAAAAGGAAAAGTGGAATGTCTTTTGGAATGGGTTAAAAATTAATAAAATGATGACCATGATGATGATTTGCTAATTATTATCAAATGTATCGCCAGGGTGATCATTAAATTAATTGTTAAAAAAGAAAAGGAAAAAAAGGAAACACCAAGTGGTAACACACAAGAATTTAATAAGCGCGAAATTTAAATTGTAAATTAGTTTGGCCAACCACGGCTTTGGGTTTGGAGCTCTGTTACGCATGTGCAATGTGTTATAAAGGAAAAAAGGAAAGAAAAAAGGAAAAGTGGAATGTCTTTTGTAATGGGTTAAAAATTAATAAAATGATCACCAGGATGATCATTTGCTAATTATTAACAAATGTATCACCAGGGTGATCATTAAATTAATTGTTAAAAAAGAAAAGGAAAATAAGGAAACACCAAGTGGTAACACACAAGAATTTAAACGTCACTTCCGCTTCCTAAGCACCGCCCACTTTATTTAAAACTAAATAGCACGAAATTTGAAATACAAATCAGTTCGGTAGTGAAATTCGAGGTGAAATTTACCAAACTGAAATGTCTTCCGTCAGTGGCAACCCTGGAAACCCTCGCTTATCTGATGTTTGTGAAAGAACGAGATGAGTGTCAATGCGATTAAATTCCACGGCAATGCATGCAGGCGGCCCGCTATCGCTGACGGGAACGGTGAGTCCGGTGGTGGTGTCATCGCCGGCGCCGAAAAGGAGGAAGCTTGAAGAGACAAGAGCGATGAATATGACGGCATGTGTTGGTGGTGGCATCTTGTCATTGGGCGGTGAGGAGGAAGCCACCTGCAGCAGCAACGACAACAACAGCAACAACAGCAACAACAACAACAGCAGCAGCGATAAAAACCCCCACAAATGTCCATATTGTGACGCATTTTTTAAAAACACACAAGGCCTAGGTAGCCATAAAAAGAACTGTAGAAGAAGAACAGAGAAAGAACAGGCAAAGATGATGAGGTTGTGCGTGGGGGAGGAGGGCAGGACTGGCTGCCAGGTACCAGAATGTCCATGTGGCCAAGAAGTGTTGTGCGATATATGTGGGAAAAGTTGTAGGAAGGCTGTGGGTTTGAATACCCACAAGCGCAGAAACGCCAAATGTAAGTAAAAATTTTATCAGGCACTGCATGCGGTATAGCACGTGACCTTACGTGACTTTATATAAAGAACTTCACAAGTCACGACAAGATCATTGTTCTCAAGCTACGGTCTTGTCACGTCTTCAAGTTTTATACAAGAACTTCAAGAACTTCATTGGATCGGAGGTATTCTGGCTTTGCCTATTTAATAAATTTATTTGTTATAATTACAGTAATTACTTTGCATAATATGTCCGGCTTTATACCCAACATTCTAATATTCGGCCACTCTTTCGTATGTCGCTTAAACGAGGATTTGAATTCGGATTTTGACAAGCGCGGGTACAAGAATTTTCATCTGGCGTCTTCAGGACATGTTTCCTTGAAAGGCACAGGATTTTTGCGTACGATATAGAGTGGTTGAAGGGTTATAAGCCTGACATATTAATTCTTGAGTTAGGCACGAACGATCTATCCTGTCAACCACCTGAGATTGTTGGCTCCCGGATTCATGACCTTGCCTGCTTCCTGCGGGATGACATTCGTGTTTCCGTTGTGTGTGTGTGTCAGGTCGTAGATCGAAATATACCACATTCCTTCCAACCAGACATGGCATTTCATGCAAAGGCCGACATATTGCGGCAGTATTTGTCCGTGGTTATTGGAAAACGAAAAGGGTATGTTTATATGGCAACATAGAGAGTTTTTTAAGGCTGATAGGAATTTACTGTCTACTGATGGTGTTCATTGTAACCCTCAAGGGCAGTATTGTTTATATCGTAGCTATCGCGGTGCAATTATAAAAGCACTTGCGCTTTTAAACACATCATAATTCTCACTGGACTTGATTCGCTTAGTTACTCTACTACTTAGTTTACTCTACTATTGTTAATAGTATCATGTATTCATTTTAATCGATGTTAATGAATAAAGACTACTCAGTTGTAGTAGTTGTTTCTGTATGTCCTCCCATAAGGATCCATAATTTAGTCTGTCTGTTCAATTTGTGTTGTTTTGTACAGGGCTAATACACTTGCTGTTGCACCTCGTTGAGAATTAAACCTTTACTATGCTCAGGGAATTTCATGATTACATAGCTGATGTAGTCGTTCATTGTATACAGTATTGTGCAGTATGTATGTGCAGTCATTATGTTTAGTGCTTGTATTGTTTGTGAATTTATGCAATTTTGCATAACTTTCAGCTGCTTCCCTGAGTTAATCTGATACCACTGTAATTCAATATACGGGGGTTTGCACAGCCTGTGTTTTTATTTGATTGCCCGTTCTGTCTGCAGCTTAAGGGATATCAAACCGGCTACCAGTATGGTAAGCCATGGTATTCTGCTGTTATTCATTGTCATTTTAGATGTTACTTATGTTCTAATCTCCACAATTCAGTGGTTGTACAAGAGTATAGCTACATTTAGTCAGTTAACCATTTAGTCAGTTTAACCGACTTTGCTTTCAATTTCCCTTGGTAGGTCAGCTTGTTGTCTCGCCAAAAGTTTCCTTTTATTTAGAAATCATGCCGGCAACAAGACCAAGCACACGAGTACAACGACGAGCCCAACCATTTGCCCCAAGCAGGCATAGCTCACGTTCCAGGGTTAGTTCTACAGCCGTTACAGGCCAGAATGAAGCGAATACTGGTGCCACAGCAACCGCAACAACCACAACAGCTGCAACAGCTTCAGGTAATCAACAACTATCAGCATCGTCAATCCAGGATATCGCATCAGCAGTTTCCTTGGCAGTGGTGGGATCTCTTCTTTTAGTACAGGATGGAGCTCGGAACAACCCACTTGGTCAGGCAGTTCAGGAGATACCTTTGGTAGCATCAGGTGAAGCTGGGGCAGAGGTCTCTGTGCAGGGGCCGGTGGCTTCTGCCTTGGGTAGCCTTACGGGTGAGAGTCGTCAATTTGATGTTGCTAGTCCAGCCTCCAACATTTTAAATTTCAATTCCATCCGCATTCCCATAGATGCTCAGGTTAACCCAAAGCTCAAGGCTAAGATTTGGGCCAATGAATTTATCGAATTTGGTAGCCTGCTTAATCAAGGTATTGGGGAAACCCGTTACCATATAGCGGTTAGCTCTGGCTCAGTTTCAAAATCACCGCCCACTTTATCATTAGAACCCACTAGTAAATCTTGACCTATTCTCCATGTTGAGGCTTGGACTACAGCATTTCAGAGTTTTGTGGGAATTTATACCACTAAATACCCAACAGCAGCCCCTTCTTTAATGAAGTATGGGGAGGTAGTTCGTGACCTGGCTTCTCGTGGGGCAGACTGGCGTTACTATGATAAGCAATTTCGGTGTTTACGGCAGATGCATCCCTTGGAAATGCCGTGGGGGTCCACACATTGGGAGCTTTGGATTAAAGCTCAAAGTTTCAGTAACCCCAGCTCAAAAATTCCACTGGGAAAGCCTGCTCGGTCTCCATCATTTGGTATTCCTAAGGGGTTTTGCCACAAATTTCACAGCGGTTTGGAATGCCATGGATGCACCTATAAACATACCTGTTACAAATGTAACATGTCACATCCAGCCAACCGCTGTAATTTTCCACCCTTTCAGGCTACCAGTTCTCAAAGCACCCCCGCCAGGTCCCGAGCTCCCAACACCAGTTCAAATTGAGCATCTTATTCCTTTGCTGCATGGATATGATGCGGAATTAGTGCATGTGTTATATAATGGTTTTAAGTTTGGGTTTCCAGTTCATTTTCAAGGACCCCGAGTTTCTTTAAATGCTAAGAATTTGTTGTCAGCTTACGAACACCCAGATATTATTCAGGCTAAACTTGTAAAAGAATTAGAAGCTAACCGATTGGCAGGGCCTTTTGACTCTCCCCCATTTGATAATTTCCGGGTTTCTCCTGTGGGTTTGGTTCCTAAGAAATCACCTGGTGAATTTAGAATGATACATCATCTCATTCCCAGGTGGGTCATCTGTTAATGACAATATTCCCTCTGAATTTACTTCAGTGAATTATGCCCGGGTCGATGATGCCATTGCTCTCATTCTGCATTTAGGTCCAGGTTGTTTCCTGGCCAAAACAGATATAAAAAGTGCCTTTCGAATCATTCCTATTAGGCCTGCAGATTATGATCTTCTTGGAATCTCTTGGGGTGGGAAATTTTATTATGATAAAGCCATGCCAATGGGTTGCTCTTCTTCGTGTCGTACATTTGAAATGTTTAGCACATCTCTGGAATGGGTTGCGCACCACCATTTAAACATTCCGCATCTTATCCATATATTAGACGATTTTCTAATGGCCGCGCATACATTCGTCCAATGTCGCATTAACCTTGAGAAATTCTTGCAAATGTGTGCATATTTGGGTGTGCCTATTGCACAAGAGAAAACAAGTGGCCCGCAGAGCATCCTTATCTTTGCTGGTATTGAACTTGACACAGTACGGATGGAGGCCCGACTACCTCAAGACAAAATTGGAAAATGCCACTCCCTCGTTTCATCATTTCTAACACAGAAAAAAGTGCAGTTGAAAGAGCTACAATCTTTGATTGGGCTATTAAATTTTGCTTGCTCTGTTATTGTCCTGGGTCGGGCTTTCCTCTGTCGTTTCATTGACCTCACAAAAGGTGTTAGATCAGCCAAACATTTTATTCGGCTGAGAAACTGGGTTAAAGGGGATTTAAGTCTCTGGAAATCCTTTCTGGATGATTTTAATGGCCGCTCAATGTTTCTCAATGATAAATGGCACGATTCTCGCACCTTAAATTTGTACACAGATGCTGCGGGTAGTTTGGGTTTTGGTGCAATATTTGGGCCATATTGGTGCTATGGCGCCTGGCCAGAGCACTGGAAAGGTTTTAACATTACGATTTTAGAATTTTATCCTATTGCACTCAGCGTCCTTCTTTGGGGCGATCTAATGAAAAATCAGCGTATCATCTTTTTCACGGATAATGCGGCATTGGTGGATATCATTAACAAAACAACCTCACGGGATCCAATGATAATGGGTTTTGTGCGCCGGCTGGTGCTGGCCTGCTTGAAATTTAATATTTTGTTTCGAGCAAAGCACGTACCGGGGGTAGAAAATCATTTAGCTGATTCTTTGTCCCGTTTGCAGGTCACCTCATTCACGCAGGCTGCACCAGTGGGCACGCACCCATTCCCGACAATAATACCGGAAACGCTTTTACCAGGCAATTGGTTGATATAACCACCACACTAGTTAAATCAAGCTTGCAGCCCTCATCAATCCCGACTTATCAAAGGGCCTGGAGACTTTACAGTCATTTTTCTTCCTCAATTTTTCATATCCCTAATATTTCTTTGCCGATATCGCCTACCAACTTAGGCCTTTTTATTGCCTTTATGTTTCAAACATCATGCTGCGTCGACCGCATACACCTATGTCTCTGCACTCGGTTATTGCCATCGTTTGGCCGGTTTTTCTGACCCCACTAAAGTCTTTTGGGTCGTAGAAATGCTGAAAGGTTATGGTAAACTCGGAACACGTATTGACACACGTTTACCAATCACTCTTCCAATTCTATACAGAATCATACAAGCAGTACATTCACTTAGCTCTAGCCGGTACAGAGCTTACTTATTCAGTGCCATGTTTACCACGGCCTTTTTTGCATTTCTACGCATTGGAGAAATCACGGCTGGTGCTCGATCTGCATCTTTCATTCAGCTCGGGCAGGTTACAAGGATGTTGGACAGTAGCGGTTCCACTGTTGGCTTTAAAATAAAGTTTAATGATTTTAAACATTCTTATAATCGCCCGTCTGTTCAGATTAGCTTATCACGTCGGGCAGACATATGCCCAGTTCAGTACTTAGTTGACTATATTTCCTTTCGTGGTCTCTCTGACGGTCCCTTATTTTGTACAATCGACGGCCTACCTTTACAACGGAAACTTTTCGATGAAATTTTAGCAACTGTCCTACACCATTGTGGACTGGACTCTACTAAATATAAGGGTCATAGCTTCCGTATTGGGGCTGCTACTTTTGCAGCCGAGTCCGGATTTTCAGACGCCCAAATACGAGCAATGGGCCGTTGGAAATCAGATGCTTTTAAAAAATACATTCGGACCCCTAGCTTGACTACACCCCCTTGAATTTCTTCGGCTTGCATAGGTCGATTTGTGATGGCTGCAAGCTTTGTGTTTATATCTTGTGCACTGGCAAACTTTCTGTACTCCTAAGACTATGTTAGTGTGGGTTGAAGCAACGCGGATGCAGGGGCAACGCATGTGTTCGTCCACTTTGTCAACTGATGTACAGCTTACAGGTCAACGCAGGGGCATGACTTGTTTAGTTTGTTCATCGTTGTTCACCTTCCAATTGTGTCTCTCCATATTTATTTGCCACGTATATTACGAGTTTTTGCACATGGTGTATTTAGTTTGTATCTCGGGTGTTTTTTCCAGCGTTCCCTCGTTCATGCTGGGGTGGGGTGAGCATTGCCTACCCGACCATGCTCGTGGCGTTTGTTTTACCCCACCTTTTCTGTGCGAACAGTTAACGAACTCTTATTTACGTATTCAAAAAGTAAAATTGTAACATTTGTTATGAAATAATAATTCGGCATGCGCTCTACGCGCATAGCCATTTATTTCCCAATTGCAGTTTTGTCTATTTATTGTCCGCTTGATATTTCGCCCAGAAAACGGAGCTCATCATGACTTGGGTACGCTGGAATGAGTATGATAATTTGCATGGTTCTGTTAAAGGCAAGGGAAGCGATAAAGGAATTATTTGCCTCTGCGAATAATAATTTTATTGCTTCCCAGTCCCATTTTTATTTGTTTATTTAAGCCTCAGGCTAAATTGGTTTTACCGGTATTAGTATCTCTAATGTATTTTACGGGAAAGAGTTGTTACATTTTGCAAGTTCACAGTAAAAATTTTATCAGGCACTGCATGCGGTATAGCACGTGACCTTACGTGACTTTATATAAAGAACTTCACAAGTCACGACAAGATCATTGTTCTCAAGCTACGGCCTTGTCACGTCTTCAATTTTTATACAAGAACTTCACCCGCCCTCTCCGCCCTTGCTTGCAACATGTAACTACTGCGTTCTTTATAAATAATTTGGCTATGTTTATTACCTGTAAGTAGTCTTTGTGTGGGCGTTTGTTTTACCCCACCTTTTCTGTGCGAACAGTTAACGAACTCTTATTTACGTATTCAAAAAGTAAAATTGTAACATTTGTTATGAAATAATAATTCGGCATGCGCTCTACGCGCATAGCCATTTATTTCCCAATTGCAGTTTTGTCTATTTATTGTCCGCTTGATATTTCGCCCAGAAAACGGAGCTCATCATGACTTGGGTACGCTGGAATGAGTATGATAATTTGCATGGTTCTGTTAAAGGCAAGGAAAGCGATAAACGTCATTTTGCACGCTGGGATGAAGATACGACACGCTTAAAGCCCGCCGCACACGCGAGCAACTTGCTGAGCTTACCGCCTCAAGTGGCAGCTAGCTCAGCTATCTATTTTCACCGCACACGTTGGGAAAACTACTCAACAACAACATAATTAACAAAATTATTTGCATTTTCCTCCATTTTGTTCTATGTCACATGAAGAAACTATGGTTTGTCATTGGCTAATTGATTCAAACAGCTCAGCACTTAGCTCACAATATCCGCAGACGCTGAGTTTTTTCCTCGCGAGGTGAAAAATATCAAACACGATAGATATTTTTCCTCAAGAGGTCAAATGGTCACGAAAACTATCCGCACACGAGAGCTACTTGCTGAGCTAACCGCCTCGCGTTGCTCTTGTGTGCGGCGGGCTTATGATTTTTCTGTGTGTTTTCCGCATGAATTATCAATGAGTTTTTGAAATAATTTCACTAACCTAATACCAATGTTTTAAATAAATTGTTCCTTAAAACTTGGCAAGGGATTAAATGACAAACATCCGTTTTTAACTGAAATTGTAAGTCACATTTTTTCATTCGCATTTGTCAGGCATGTGATAATGAAACAATGTCAACATGTCATGGGTTAACAAGCTTAAAATTTATCCGGGATATAAACTCTCAATGTAATTAGCCGCTCAAAAACTAATTTATCTTTTTTGGTCACAATTAAAAGAAGGTAGTCATTTGCAAACCATATAACTCTAAACCTTAAACTTTAAACTCTAAGC